AATCTGAATTCTTTCTATATATTGGAAAGGATGAACAGTGAAAAAAGACAGGAGAGATAGCTCATCAACACATCTATGGCTCTATGAGTTATTACAATATCAAAATTCTTCTCTTGAGATCGTCACAGATTGAGTTTCCAAGCACCTTGACTTCCCTTGAAGGTTTCCGCCTCATCTTAGCGACTCCTACTCTCTCACCACAATGGAATGATTAAAGAAATGAAACATATCAGATTAGGGAGCCTTAAGGACCCTGGTCTACTGCTGCAGCTTCCTGTTCTGTTTGCTGGTACTCAGTCTAATGATAAAATTTAAAATTATCCCTGGAAGAAGATAAGGCTGAGTCCCATTTCCTATCAGACAATCTTTCCTTTTCCCTCTGACTCTCACTTGAAGTGTGTATGCTTCAGATCCACTTGCCTGTAGACAGGAATGCACACAACAATATCTAAATATGAAGAATCTTTTGCAAGGTAATAATCTGCCCCACATAATGTTAGCATACAGCCAAATATTTGATGCTTTTACTTGAAAAAATGAAATCTCAAGGAGAAACTCTATGAAATCTTTAGGCACATCATCCTTGGATCTGGCATTATTTTATACTAGGCATTAAAACTTGTCCAAAGGTATAGATGATTCAAAACACCTATATGATAAGAAACTCATAGAATAAGCTAACACAACTCATGAATCTAGATCAGAAGATGTGAATATCCTGTAAGTGCAGAAAAAGAAAAAGAAAGATGGAATTACAGGGGAAATTTCCATTTCCAAATGCTTCCAGTATTGCTTTCTTATTTAAGGAGCAAATGCCCTCAAGACACTGTTGACAAATCAAGAACTTGTATTCTGGAGTTATTTAGAGAAGCTGATGATTTGCAAAGCGCTAGTAAAGAGACAAGCATTGAACTTATGGGGAAAAAATATATGTCTTAATACAAATGAAGTTAATGTAAATAACAGAATGTAATCAAATCACTGCTTTTGTTTATCCTGCAAACAATGTAATTCAAGAAAGCCCCATTATGATCCATCTTTTCTCCAATGCACTCTTTACATTTTCTGACATTTTATATCAAAAACAATACAGGCAACTCTACTCAATACATTGTAATAGTATATATGGGAAAGGAATCTAAGAAAGAGTGGATATATGTATATGGATAACTGATTCACTTTGTCGTACACCTGAAACACAACATTGTAAATCAGCTATACTACAACAAAAATGAAAACAAAACAAAACAGAAAACCCAAACAAACAAAAACAACACATATCCTGTCTGATTTTCTTTTGAAGAGGAGAAATTGATTTATTTAGAGAGAAGCACCCTCAACATAGTGGGCAATCTCAAAAGGTGCTGTGTTACGTGATCAGTTGTTCAGTCATGTCCGATTCTTTGCAGTTCCAAGGACTGTAGAAGCCAGGCTCCTTTATCAGTGGACTATTCCAGGAAAGAATACTGGATTGGGTTGCTAATTCCTACTCCAGGGCATCTTACCGATTTGTGATGAAACTCACATCTCTATGTCTCTGTGTTGGTAGATAGGTTCTTTACCACTAACACCACCTGAGAAGTCCCCCCAGAAGGTGAGAGGCCCTGAAATATGGGCTGATTAGTTTTTATGGTCTGGGTAATTTCATAGGCTAAACAGTGTGAGTATTACTCCAACTATTTTTGAGAGGGGGCAGATTTCTAGGAATTGGGCCACTGTCCACTTTTGACCTTTTATGGTTGGCCTCAGAACTCTCATGGCATTGGTGGGTGTGTTATTTAGCTTGCTAACGCACTACAATGAGCATATCCCAGATTCAACTTCTTATCGGATCTTTTGAAATTTTTCAGTCCATAACACTATGCCTGTAGTCATTTCCAAATTAAAGACCATCACTACATATATAAGTGAAAACATACAGAACAAATACAGCGAAACAAAAACAAATTCACAGATACAGAGAACAAATTAGTGGTTGCCAGAGGGGAGGGTGTGGGGATATGAGCAAAACAGGTGAAGGGGACTTGGGGTACAAACTCCAAATATTATTTATTTCAGTTATAAAATAAATAAGTCACAGAGATGTAATATAGAGCACAGGGAATATAGCCAAAGTTATTATACTGTAATAACTTTGTATGGATCACAGCTTAAAAATATCTAATTATTATATTATGCACCTTAAACTAATTTTATAAATCAACTATACTTCAATCAAAAATAATAATGATGAAAAGACAATTCCTTACTAATATAAGTTGAAATGTCCTTGTGATCTATTTATTCTGATGATTTTAACCATCTAAATTTCTTTAGCTCTTTAATATTCCATACTATATCCAGACAACTTTCAAGTCATGTGAAGTATTTTAAATATTTCTGTGTCATTAAGGAAAAAAGAAAAAATATTATTCCAATCTTAAAAATAGATAAACAAAAGAAAATATAAAGAGCATATAAGCTCTGTTTCTAATTAGGGATGAAATCCAGCCTGATGTTACTTAGTATCAGAGGCTCTTAGAAAGGATGGCAAATATATCTGTTAGTTTTAGGAACTAAAAATATCATGGAGAATTGAACATTATTTGAGCTATTTATTCAGCTACTTGACAGAAATCAATCATCAAGTTTAATCCTAAACTCTCAGCCCCAAAATGACAATGAATGAATATTTGTCAATAGAAACAGACAAGTTCATTCTTAGTGAACCTCTTGATTGCTCTAATGTAATGGAAAGTTTTGATAATGAGGAAGATCTGCAAAAGAGCACATACAAAAATTAAGGTGGATAGGCAGTGACATATGAGAAAGAAAGATTAGAGTTTTGACTTTTTATGTAAAATATGCCTTTTTGCATTATTTCAGCCCACTCCAGTACTCTTGCCTAGAAAATTCCATGGATGGAGGATCCTGGTGGTCTGCAGTCCATGGGGTCGCTAGGAGTCGGACACGACTGAGTGACTTCACTTTCGCTTTTCACTTTCATGCATTGGAGAAGGAAATGGCAACCCACTCCAGTGTTCTTGCTTGGAGAATCCCAGGGACGGGGGAGCCTGGTGGGCTGCCGTCTATGGGGTCGCACAGAGTTGGACACGACTGAAGTGACTTAGCAGCAGCAGCAGTTTGCATTATTTAGCTATTGCAGTATCCCTTTAACAGAAAATATAGGGCTGTGAAGCAGCGTGAAAACACGCAAGAAATTTACAGAGAAACATGGACCTCTTTGGAATCGAATAGATCAGTTGGCCTTCACTGAATAAACAACTTAGGCTTTTTAAATTACTTTTTTCCTGGCTATCTACAAAAGGTGCAGCACCTTTAAATTTTAAGATTAAGTTTTCAATTCTTAGGGCAGATTTTCCTATTATTAAGTTTCCAGGAGAAGAGGGGAAATTGGGGCAGCATTAATTTCTTTACAAATGGCACTGCTCTCAACAACTCAGGCTTTCACTGTCCTGGGAAAAACAGATACCAAGCTTGAGAGTATGGGATTTTGACCCAGCTTTAAGTTTATAGAGTCTATATAGCATCATACTTGATTCATTTGATGCAAAATCAGTATTGCTTAACATAAGGCAGTTAGGAGGATAGTTTTTAAGTGACATTAGTCTTTGTTAAGATTTCTAAGCCCCCATAAGTGCACTTAGATAATTGCTAAAGCATACATACAGCAGGAGAAACTATAGAAAACATGAATGCAATAAAAAGAGATTATTTTCTTAATACAACTCGCTTGTCAATTTACTCTGAGAGACATATGGTAAAATTGAAACTAAAGGTCACAGGCTGCTTGAGATGCATGAACTTAAAAATTAAAGAAAGTCATCAACAACTTGGCTTATATTCATTACAGTCATTTTATTCAGGAAATCTCTAAAAGGCAAGTGGAACTTTTGAGCCCATGAAAGATGCGTTTTTGTCACCTTGACCCTAGAGTGGCCAAGTTAATCAGTCATAAGTTAATAACAGTTTGTGTAACCTTACCCTTAAGGAAAGTGAACATGACTGTTTAGAATTTTGTTTTACCGCATCATTTACCAGGGTTTTTGTGTGCGTGTGTGTTTACCCTTGAAAACCACTGTGTCACTTCCCCAGTATGAACTCCCTAAAGTTAGGGGTGACTTTTCTGTTCACTGTAGAAGAGAGGGCAACGTATGTTACAGGATTCATGTTCTAGCCCTCTTCACATCCCTCCTGATTCCTCTTGAAGTGATAAACCTTTCAGCATCTAGCTTGACTAATTACTTCTTCTACATCCTTGACATTTAAACTTGCCATCCCACTGTTTCTCAATCTGTAAACTGGGGATGAAAAATATAACTTTACATACATGTTAAAATCAAAAGTTTTACATGAAAATGCACAGAGAAAATACCACAGAGATATATCCTTTTAGAAAGGACAAAACAGAATGTGTAAAAATCAACAAAAAAATGAGGAAAATGCATTGAGAGTATAACAGGAACTGAAAATCTTACTTACTCATCCTTATTCTATATTTCTTAGTATTTAGTGTGCAAGTTTTGAAATCTTAACTTCAGCCAGCAATTTTGAATGAGAAAAAATACTCTTTGATAATACATGAGACACCTAAGTGAAAGATAATGCTATATTCAAGAAACTGCAGAGAAATAAAGGTAAATGTTACAATAAATGACTGCTATAATTTTATAGTTCCTCTAACCCAAACTAGTCTCCAGATCTCACCATCATTATCTCTCTCATTTCCTTTTGGTCTAATTAATCAAAATCTTTCCTAGACGTTCATTTCTGGCCAGTATGTCTTCCTGAATATGAATAAGAAATAGAATACCATTCAATGTTTGAAATTATGGGGGTAATCTCAATGACGGAAATAGATGACTGGCAAAAGGGAAGGGAATGCCTGATTAAATATATTCATGAAGATGTCAAAGCCTTATAAAGCCAGTATCTGGGGAAGAGAAAGCTATAGGACAAGAGCTTCCTGGTGAAGTGTGTTTCTTGAAACCAGCACCACCATGGACAGCAAAGGTTCGTCGCAGAAAGGTATGTACAGCAGCTCATGGAGTTGGGTTTTATCGATGCTCCAATGGAGGTATTAATTTGAAATTTGAGGAAATATTCTCTTAGGTTTCAGGATTACAGAGTTTAGAAGAAGTAGCTAATCCTGCTCTAGAAGTCAATTGTATAGGGGCACAATAGGACAGTGGTTCTTGAATGGAGGAATGTCTTCCAGAGACATTTGGTTAATGTCTGGAGATGGTTTTGGTTGTCTCAATATGGGGCAGGGGTGCTACTGGTACCCAGGGGGCAGAGATCAGAGATGTTGCTAAGCATACTATAAGGCACAAGTCAGCCCTCAGAACAAGTACTTATCCAGCTCAGGGTGCCAATCATGTCAAAGTTGAGAAACCTTGGACCAGAATAAGACCGCAAGTGTCTGAGTCCAATTCATCGCAACTCCAGAAGGTAGAAACAAACATTTTCTAGTTACCAGGATTCTTATGTGGTGTGGCTAAGATGAATCAGTCTGATGAAACTTTTAACTCTGAAGCTATAATACAGACAGGGACAGCAGAGTTGTCTCCTACAATGCTTTGTTGACTGGGTTTAAGCAAAATGATATCTTAGAAGAAAAAACAGGCTAGTAACAATAATCGCCTTTACTTTCTTGGTTGACATTCGCAAGAAAAAGAAATTGCAGATAACTAATGAGAACTTACTGTATAGCATGGACAAATCTACTCAGTGCTCTCTGGTGATCTAAATGGCAAACAAATCCAAAAAAGAGGGTATATATGTATATGTATAGCTAATTCACTTTGCTATACAGCAGAAACTAGCATAATATTCTAAAGCAATTATATTCCAATAAAAATTAATTTAACAAAAGAAATTGTAAGACAAAGAAATTAATTACAAAATTTATTTTATGAAACAACAAAAACATTTCTTTTTCATCTCATCTTAGGCTGTGAAAAAAATGCTTCAGATGATAAAGGTTCAGATAAATGCAGTCAGAGTTAAAGAATATCTATCCAGTTATGAATTTCCTAGAACCAATATTCCAATTTCTCTATCTGTAAAGTACTTTTTATTTATACTTGTAGATAAAACATTTAATCAGCTGTGTTACATGGCTGTAAAGTACCTAAAATAATCTCTTTGGAAATATGTCTTTGAAAAATTAAAAAAGCTGTTATATGAATTATCTCACAATATTGATATCTTTATTTTGCAACTAAAAGGTTGTTCATTCTATACTACATTCTATACTAGATAATCTTTTAGATATTTTCAGGTGTTGAGGGTTAGGTATTTTTCCACCCTAAATCTTTAGCCCTTGCCTCATTTTGTCTTAAACATTTCCAATTACATTTATTCAAAATTCCAGAGGAAAGGAGTTTTTTGATAAACACATTCTTACATTCTTTATTTTATGTGGAGAAATTTGAACTTAAACATGATTTTAATCATTGCCTTTTTCCTTTTGAAAGTGTAAGTTACTGATATGTTAGTGGTTCATATCAGTCCATCTGCTGAGATAGTTAATTGGTGACTACATTGTCTCTGCTAATTGTAAAGGACTTTAAAAATGAATGTTTATAGACAGAGCAGAACGAGTGAATAAAATCAACTTTCTAGGGTCACTGCTGTCATGCAAAGACAAAATATTTTTCTCTACTAGTAACAGCAATGACCACTGCAAGCACGGGGTCATCACAGCTACTGATGTGATCCCTGTTACATACATGCAAACCAAGAGCCCAACTGCCTGTGTGTTGTGACATGAGAAAGTGAAAAGATGACAGTGTGGTCCCCAGTCACCTCCACCTGCTAAACATGGGACTTGGGGGAAAATCACTTGCTCTAAGTCATTGTTTATTGATAGAATTTGATGATAATAATGGAGATCATTGGAAAGAGCCCTGATGTTGTGAAAAATTGAAGGCAATATAAGAAGTGAGTGGGAAAGGATGAGATGGTTAAATAGCATCAGTGACTCAAGAGACATGAATTTGAGCAAACTCCAGGATATATTGAATGAAGGGGAGCCTAGAGTGCTGCAGTCTGTGGGGTGACAAAGAGACTGGACTTAGCCACACACAACAACAATAACACAGTGAAGGCCAAGGATATCTCAGAGGATTATCATGAAACACAAATTTTACAGAGTTTTAAAAGCTTTTAGCAAAGTATCAAGGAAGTGGATGGGGTTATTAAGTTGAATGAGCAGATCCAAGATGCAGTATCCTTTTTCTCTTAGTATTCTCTTTGTATTCTCTTTGTATTCAATAATAGGGTTCAAGCAGTCATGTGTTTCTTCTTACCCACCGTGATGGTAAACCATACAGATCATCTGTGCTGTTCTTGCCATTTCAGTGTCTAAAATGCAAGCATTAGTCAGTGTACAGTGAAAAAATTACAAACTCCTACAAGCTGCTGAGAATCTGTAGAGAATCCCAAGACATTAAACTATCATAGGAGAATGACCTAAACACTCTGACTCACATTAATTTAAATTCCAAATGTTTGCAGAACACAGGAGCACTTCTGGGAGCAATACAAAAATGCAGGGGGTAACCTACTTCTGCAACTATATATCTGTGCAAATATCATCATCCATCTAAATTTACACAGTGGAAGGTGTTGCTTCTTCCCCACCCCAGCTGCTACAGCACCAAATCCTGCTCAGGGCAACAGGGAGAGATGAGGCCTTGCTGGACAGGATGGCTTTTGCTGACCTTGGGCTAATACATCATCTGAGTGGCTCATGTTTTTATTTAAGCAGGGTCCCGCCTGCTCCTGCTGCTGGTGGTGTCAAATCTACTCTTGTGCCAGGGTGTGGTCTCCACTCCCGTCTGTCCCAATGGGGCTGGCAACTGCCAGGTGTCCCTTCGAGATCTGTTTGACCGGGCAGTCATGGTGTCCCACTACATCCATAACCTCTCCTCGGAAATTTTCAACGAATTTGTAAGTACTGAATTTCTTGCTTATTTCCAGAAGAAACCTTTGTGTAAGTGACTGGGCTATACCATCCTTTAAACAAGAAGGCTGCATCAGCCAAACTTCAAAGAATGCATTTTCTAGGTCAAATAAGACATTAGTTCATAAGATGTGGTAACTGAAGAAAAGATATATCATGAAATCTCAAAGATTCTTAAAGAGTGAAATACCTGTTTCAATTTCCTTATATTTGTTAAATTTCCAAAATAAATTTAAAACACCTGTATTTGTCAGCTTGGACTCTCATAGCAGAATACCATAGACTCAGTGGATTAAACAACAGAACTTTATTTCCTCGCACTTCTGGGGGCTGGAGGTCCTGGATCAGGGTGCCAGCAAGGTCAGTTTCTGGTAAGGGCTCTGTCTACCCAGGCTGGCTTCTCCCTGTGTCTCACAGGGTTGGGGGCAGGGAAGAGAAACAGGAAAGGCACAGAGACAAAAGAGAAAACTCTCTGGTGCTTCTCTTCATAAAGACTCTAAATATATTGGATCAGTATTCCACCCTACGAGCTCATTTAACTTTAATTAATCTTCATAATCTTCTGGGCTTCCCTTGTGGCTCAGCTGGTAAAGAATCCGCCTGCAATGTGGGAGATTTGGGTTCGATCCCTGGGTTGGGAAGATCCCCTGGAGAAGGGAAAGGCTACCTGCTTCAGTATTCTGGGCTGGAGAATTCCATGCACTCTACAGACTCTACAGACTATACAGAGAGTGGGACACAAATGAGCGATTTTCACTTTCATTTTCAATCTTCATAAGGGCTTCCTAGGTGGCGCTAGCGGGAAAGAACCTGCCTGCTAATGCAGAAGACATAAAAGATGCAGGTGCAATCCCTGGGTCAGGAAGATCCCCTGGAGGAGGGCATGACAACCCACTCCAGTATTCTTGTCTGGAGAATCTCCATGGACAGAGGAACCTAGAGGGCTACGGTCCACAGGGTCCCAAATAGTGGTACACAACTGAAGCGAGGTAGCTTGCACACAGTCTGCATAAAGGCCCTTTTCCAAGCACAGTACCTTGGAGATTTTTGCTTCAACACGTGAACTGGGGGGAGACACATTCAGTTCGTAACAGTACCTGACATAATGCACTCTTAGGTAGGGTTGGAAAAAGAAGCATCTTGATTTTCTGGTCCTTCAGTGTCCCTCTGGGCGTTCTTCACCCAGCACACAGTAAATAGCCAATAAATGGGAACTGTACTTCAGTGAACTGGGTGGATGGAACATATTAGACAGAGCTGAATTCCTGTAATGAAAACAAATAATGATAGTTTTTTAAATGCTACAAATTACTGTTCTAAGATGTGCAATATATGGATTTAGAACTACAATAGAATGGTTGGTTTATAATTGGAAATAAAATTATTCTCTTTCTGATGAAATTACTTTGAAAGTTGTATGCTCTTTTATGTCAACCAAGGAGCCCACAGTAGACAACTGATAAAAAATGGTCCTCAATGTTTCTATTAAATTCATATAGTTCTTTTTATTCACTAGTTTTCCTTTCATCTTCCATTTTGACTGTCATCTTTTTTCCAGATCTTCGAAGTAATCTCTTCAAATGTTCACAACTTTTGCTAAAGATTAGGCTTTCTCTATCAATGTGTTAGCTAGTTATTTCTACTCTCCTTCTCAGTCCATTGCTTACTATTTCCAAAAACTTTATGCCATGTTTTTCTGACTTACCATTTTCTTATCATCAGTGACACTGTATTCTGCATCTGTGATGCATACTAAGCTTAGGTTTGTGGATTCATATTAGTCAAATAAAAGTTATAATTATGTCTTCTTTTAAGGGAGTATATTGGTTCCAACCCAAAGTAAACAAAAGATTAAATGTCTATATAGGTATCATACATATGCACTATATTTGGTTCAAATACTAAAAAAGATGATACTTAATAAAGCAGTTAATATTTCATATTGGGGTTATTTTTAGTGTTTGCTATCCAAATAGTAACTATGGGAAGGATGAAATGAGACAAGGGAAAAAAAAAGAAGGAAAGAGTTTGGAATTTAGATGAAAGGCAACTGTTTTCAGAGATAATGGGAAGAAAAAGTAGGAAAAAGGATTACTTTCAATTTTTATGTGACTCTCATTAAAAAAATTATTAATCTATCAAACGTGTTAGTATTCTGCTAAAGGTTCATTTACTGAATGCTGAAAGAACCCTAACGACTTGAATTTGCTTGATCGCTTCCAGGATAAACGGTATGCCCAGGGCAAAGGGTTCATTAGCATGGCCCTCAACAGCTGCCATACCTCCTCCCTTCCTACCCCTGAAGACAAAGAACAAGCGCAACAGACCCACGTGAGTCTTTTCCCCGGGTTTTCACCACAACAAGCGAGACGGTGCCCTGGTGTTACTAGGCTTCAGGTTATTAGAGGTAATGGTAACTGGACATGCAGAGAAAGGTGGAGAAACAGTAAACAATCAAAGAGGAATTACATTATGCAGTTGATGAAATATGAGTAAAACCAAGGGATGCCTATAAAGATCTGTAGCAGCAAAATAAATAACAGATCTATAAACTGTCCATGCAGACAACATAAGTTCAACCAATGCATTAGATCCAGGATTGCAGCCATTATACTGTATGAAAACATGAAGTAAATGGAACATCCATGTATAAAATACAGATTTAAAAAATTCATGGATATGTAAGAAACACAACCCCAGTTTTGAGTATTCCCTGTTACTAGTGACTCCTCCATGGGGGTCACTCCTACACTGCACCACTTGAGCCACCAATTCTGCCTTTCAAGGCTCACCTGATTCTTCTACTTCTCTGACATCTACCTCATTCTTGACTGACTCCTCTGTCACCTCTTATTTTTAATTATAAATCTCCCCTCAAAATGGGTCCTAAAAAATATTATGTTTTGCTTCTCATGGCTGTGATGATTGCCTCCGTTCTGATGACCACATCATCTACTGATCAGCCTCAATCGTGTATCCCAGCTCCAAATTTTTATCATTATAATCGCTCCTTTCTGATTTCCTGAGCTAACCACAGTTCTAACATTATTTAAAATATTTCTACATGCATCTCCCCTTAAGTACAATCTGTTCTCTTGCTTTGTTAGTGATACCAGCATTGTTTTCATCTGCTAATCTCCTTAATAACGAGGATGATAAAATGAAGGAAGAAGGTCAAGAAGAACAAGGAGGAGGACTTTTTAAAATGAGTTTAAAATTTATTGAGAGCTATTACCTTACCAAACAATTTATAAAGTGCTTTGTTTTCATTACTATGTTTAATCCTCACAAAAATTCCTGTAGCACAGTGTCTGTTATTACACTTCCTGAAATATGGAAACCAAGACTCAGAAAAATTGTGGAATTTGTACCAGTCACACAGGTAGTGAGCAGTGAGTCTGGGTTTCAACCAACTCAGAGCTCTCAGTTTTCATCTTTAAGCTACAACACCCCCAGGAAAACTATGCTGCCACTCACCCTAGAGTCTGAATTTCATTTCAGCTCCTTACTCTCACATCCCATCATGTTTCTATTGTAATGTCTATTTGATTCTTCTCTGCTGTTCATTTCCTGTACCATTAAAGTAGTTCATGGCCATCAAGAAATCAAGCATTTTAATTAGAGATGCTCAGCCTCTGGGAGTTTCATGTCCAGTCCTGGTAGGAGGGCAAAATCTTCCATTGTGAATCCCACTGATGCTGTTGCTAAAGACAACACTGTGTCATTTTCTGCCCTTACACATGTCAACAAAATAGACTGCTCTGATAGCTGCATGGGGGCTGATGTTGGGATGGATTGAGGAAAGTGTGGTTAGCAATGTCATATCTTCTTTATATCCTCTTTGCTCTAATATCATAAAAGGAACTGCCAATCAAAAACTAAAAATACATTAATGAATACTTCAATTCATTAATATGAATGAATCATTGGGTGAAAATGGGGTGGGCACAGGTGGATTCCTTCTTTCCTGGGTCAGGTACTCCAGGCACATACCGAGTTCCAACAAAATACGTAGATTCCTCTCCCCAGACAAGCAAAGCATTCAGATATAAAAGAACTCACTGAGTGGATGGTAGAATTTCAGAGGGAAAAAGAAAATTCTTTATGTTATAAATTAGAACTCATCAGAAACACTGGTTACTAAAATAAGTCAGATTTTTAAGTATTTTAGCGAAGTATAAGCCGATAGCTTACATTTTATAATTTTGCAACCTTTACCACCTTCAAAAAATTTTCAATACATATAGGAAAAACCAGGAGTTTTTTAGGTCAGTCACTCTGAGCAAAAATCACATGTTACCAAATCCACTGAATTATGCTTATTTTAATGAGATTCTTCCCTGTGGTTGTTTAGCATGAAGTCCTTATGAGCTTGATTCTTGGGTTGCTGCGCTCCTGGAATGACCCTCTGTATCACCTAGTCACAGAGGTGCGGGGTATGAAAGGAGCCCCAGATGCTATCCTATCGAGGGCCATAGAGATTGAGGAAGAAAACAAACGACTTCTGGAAGGCATGGAGATGATCTTTGGCCAGGTGAGCAGCCTCATGAAGGCTTCCTTGCTATTCTCATGAATGAGAGAGGTGATTTCTGTAATGAGGAATGAGTTTTGAATGATCTCAGTGTACAAGAACACAATTCAGGCCTTCTTTTTCTAGACTGCTATTACATATAGCAAGAACCTGTTCACTCATAGTGATAGATTCTATTGTCAGTGAATGAGAATTCCACAGCAATTTTTGACAGATATAGTCTTTCTTGACTTGCACAGTTCCACCAAAATCTTGCCCCTTTCTGGGTACAGATGGCTGAAATATTTTCAAGGATAAGAGAACTAGAGAATAAAATTTGCAAGATAAATATTTTCTTCAAAATATCTCAAGATATCCTCTACTGAAATTCAGCTTGTATTCTTTCTCTGTTTTACTCAAACCATAGGATGAGAGTGAGGAGAAATAAAAGAGAAAGTCAAAACCAAACTAATACTTGAGTTCTGCTTTTAGTTTTTAATTAGAAAATTACTAGCAGATATCTGATAACACTGGCTCCAAAATCCAAGTGTAGAGACTTTCATGTATCTTCCCCAATTTTTAATTTGATAATTAGAAAGAACAAAGATGAGCAAATACTACTAAAACTCATAATAACTCATTATCCTTTGGATGCTTAGGTTCTTCCTGGAGCCAAAGAGACAGAGCCCTACCCTGTGTGGTCCGGACTCCCTTCCCTGCAAACCGAGGATGAAAATGCGCGTCATTCTGCTTTTTATAACCTGCTCCACTGCCTGCGCAGGGATTCAAGCAAGATTGACACTTACCTGAAGCTCCTGAATTGCAGAATCATCTACAACAACAACTGCTAAGCCCACATTCATCCTATCCATTTCTGAGATGGTTCTTAATGATCCACTTCCTGGCAAACTTCTCTGAGCTTTATAGTTTTTTTAATGCATGCTTGGTTCCAATGGGTTTCATCTTAAATAAAAACAGACTGTAGAGATGTCAAAATCTAAGACGGCAATTTTGTCAGTGTTTCTTATCTTCACTTAATAGACAATCAAATGAAAATCCTTCCTTATGATTGAGAGAAAGAAGTTCCGATTAAAATTTGTCACAAATAGCAGAAACTGACATTACAAAGAAGACCATTAACAACTTTAGAATCACAGAAAATTATTCTGGGTCAAATTGTTAGAATTAAAGAATTAGATAATCATTCATTCTGTTGGTCATGCTACCAAGAAGACTGAATTCTCAGGATTGTTTTACGAATGTCAACCAACTTTCAACTAGTGTGCTCAAAGAGCATGAGGTTTACTAAACCGTCTAAAGATTGTTATAATGCAGTCTTAGTCCTTTTGGGCTGCTATAACAAAATATCACAGACTTAAAAACATTTAAAAACAATGGAAATGGATTTCCACTGCATGGTCAGGCGGGTCCCTCTTCTGGTCACACACTTCTTACTGCATCCTCATGTCGGGGAAGGGCTGGAGAACTCCGTGTGTCTCTTATATATGAAAGCAGTCATCTCATCCAGGAGACTCCATCCTTCACCACCTCCATAACTTCATCACCACCCAAAGGTCCCACCTATTAAACACTATCACCATGGGAGTCAGGATTTCAACATATGAAATTTCTGGGGGACACAAATGTTGGGACCAGAGCAGATACAAACATGAACTGGCTCCATCTTCCTCCAGTGGCTGTCTTCACCCACACTCCACTGCATCCTCATTTTCTGCATCATCTTGCAACCATTCCATACATTCTATCACTCCGAGTTTAACAAGTCCAGGTCAGTTAAGTGTCAATTCCATCTCGTATTCAAACAATTTAATGTTTCTCTCTCCCCTACTGAGGCCCTGGGGGACCTACCAGGGAAGGCAGATATGTCCATTTCTGCAAAGTTCCTTCTCACCCTCTCTAGATCTTCATTCCTTGGGCCATGTTGGAAGTAGGCAAGGGGTGATAAGATGGGAAAGTTCTGACATCACTGACTTATGTCGCGCTGATATAGCCTTCTCATGGTTAAGAGAGACTGATCTGCAATTCCCCCCTGATTGACAAACATCTGACTTGTGGGGCACCCTTCTGATTTTCCAGGACATTCATAAGTTGCAGATACTCATCAGCATAGTTTCTTTTTTAACCTGGGGAAATGTTCTAGCACCCACAACTCCCCACCTACAGTATTCTCCACAGCCTCTCGGTTTCCTTCACTCTGCAAACACCCAACTGGAGAAAATTAATTGGCTTAAGGTCAGCTGCCTACTAGCTGACCCACCAGAAACCCATGTATCATCAACACTCCAAACAACTGAATGGCAGAAATACTGGTGTACATTTGATCCCCTCTTGGGGTCTTTGGACAATTCTCTGCCTGCTCACATAGACACAGAGTAGACCAGGAAGCTGGACTCATAAACAAACTGGGGAGTGAAATACCATTCTTTCCTTTTAGACTGTCTTTGTCAATAATCAAATATCCCCTATTAGGTCCCTGAATTACGAAACCCTCCAAATAGACTAAGCCTCTATAGAGACTGGAGAGAAGTGACTGGATTAGGGTTGCTCAGCTTGTTCAACTGCTTCCAGATAACCTGCAGTGGGGGCCGAACTCTCCTGAAGAAGGCAGTGATGTTGCTGGGCTGTTTTTGTAGCATAATTTGGGCTTTAGCAAGGATTCCTAGACAACAGACAATGGGAAATATTCCATCCAATATCCTGGTAGAAATGAAATAAAAAGGTAGATGGGAAGGTGGATGAAGATGAAAGAAAGACAAGAAAGATAGAGAGAAAGTGAGTGAAAATTTCTGAAGGATGAAATGCTATTAGAACACTCTATTTGGTGAGCTCTCAAATACATATGGACTTCCCAGGTGGCGCTAGCAGTAAAGAACCTGCCTGCCAGTGCAAGAGACATAAGAGACATGGGTTGTCACTGGGTTGGGAAGATCCCCTGGAGAAGGGCATAGAAACCCACCCCAGTATTATTGCCTGGTGAATTCCACAGGACAGAGGAGCTTGGCAGGCTATACAGTCCATAGGTTCGCAAAGAGTTGGACATGATGCAGACATATGAGATTTCAGTCTTATAATCTAAGAGCAAATATTATCGCATTATTGTTGTTGTTCAGTCACTAAGTCATGTCCTACTCTTTGTGACCCCAGATACTGCAGCACACCAGGACCCTCTGTCCTTCACTATTTCCCAGACTTTGCTCAAATTCATGTCCATTCAGTCATGTCCATGAGATGGTTAGATAGCATTAACCATCTCATCCTCTGCCACCCTCTTCTTCTTTTGCCTTCAATCTCTCCAAGCCTTTCCAATGAATTGGCTCTTTGTATCAGGTGGACAAATTATTTGAGTCAGCATCAGTTTTTCCAATGAAAATTGAAGGTTGACTTCCTTTAGGATTGACTGGTTTGATCTCCTTGCAGACAAGAGGACTCTTGGGAGTCCTCTCCAGTCCTACAATTCAAAAGCATCAATTGTTTGGTGCTCAGCTTTCTTTGTGATCCAACTCTCACACCATACTTGACTACTGGAAAAATTATAGCTATGACTATACAGCATCTCATATTCTCCTTTTCCTTCCCTTTTCTCTTCTCTTTTTCTGAAATTTTCCTTTGTTTAGGAATATTCTTTTGTTGCTACTTATTGAGTGTGATGATTCTACAAGTGAACAAAACTTGGCAACTCTTCAGCTCGGAATTCAAGGGAATTTTCTTCTGTTATGCAAAGACATCTTTCACATGTACAAGAACACTTTCCAGCAAAACCAACCTCTTCCCTCGTAGCCAGAGTTATTTTTGCCTGTCTTGCTCATGCCTCTAGCTATGATGACCCCAGCCTTACAGAACATGACAGAATACTCTGCCCCAAAACAATCTGTCAGTCTCTCCTTTGGCTCCAGAATGCATGCAAAAAGTCATTATTCTAGGATTTTCACCTTTTCTTTTAAGAGGCAGAAGACCATGAAAAAACCTGTTATCACTCCCTATCTAAGTTATTGATTGCCTGAAACATCTAATTCAATTGTATTACCTGCTTAACTTTCTTTCCTTCAATGACTATATATTTCCAAACAAGATTGTTGTTGTTCAGTCACTCAGTTGTGTCCCACTCTTTGCAACTCCATGGACTGAAGCACGCCAGGCTTCCTGTCCTTTACCATCTTCTGGAACTTGCTCAAACTCATGTCCATGGAGTCAGTGATGCCATCCAACCATCTTGTTCTTTGTCGTTGGATGATATTTATTAGAGGGGAATTTGGCAATAAGGGGGCAATGCAACAGTAGGAAATATATACTCACCACTAGCTCACACACATCATCTTCCATTTGTCTCTTATAAAGTTTACTCGAAGCATAATTTAGGACTTTAGATCAACAGAGATGCTGACATTGCAAGGCCCCTCCCTGCTTGACCATGACATATAAACTGAACACTGTAGATTCCAAACAATATTGAGCAGAGCCATATGTGTTCTGTAGAATCAGCAAGGGGTAGCTGAAAAGAGAATATTTGGGAAGGATGTAGCTCTAAAAAAATTCCATTTTCCACAAATTGGTTCACAAGTTGTGGAACAACAGAGAATCACATAAACATGCAAATTACTATATTATATGGTAGAGCAAAGTAAGAATAACAGGTGAAACAAGGTGCTAGAGTGGATTAAAATGCAGCTAGGAGCTATCTGGATGTGAGAACAAGGATTTTTTTTGAGTAACAAACAGTGATGGCTTTATGATGGAGTTTTGAAAGGCCGATGGGATATTGATATGCAAAAATAGGAAGATAACATATCTGTCAACTCATTTAGGATCCTCTTATGAAGCAAATATTTCATACATCCTGGACCAAGGGAACTGAGATCTTAATGCATATAGTATTGTAAGTTACCAGTGAATAATCAAGCTTAACCAAAAGACAATAAATGTTTATTTATTTAACAGACATGTAATGTTTCTCATGATTATTCTCCCAGAATGTGCTATATAGTTTACTGTAGGATTAGAATGGAGAAAATCTTGTAAGGATAGTTTATGCATTGTGGAGGATCAGTTATGACAATTTGGGAAATTTGTATTTATCTTAAAACACAATAGAAAACCAGGACATTTTAGTGCAAGAGAATAGCATGTCCAGAATTAGAAAAGAGATATCTTAAACTGTATTAAGAAGTTGTGGATGTTGGGGCTTATAGAGAAAAGGAGGCAGTCCAGAAGCAGCTTGGAATATTATGACACTAAAAGAAAATCGGGTCCGGGGGGGATGGGAGGGGCGGCGCCTCGCCGCCGTCCGCGCCGCTGCCATTGCCGAGGGGGCCCGCTGTCCCCCAGGCGGCGGTGGGGAAGCGGGTGGTCTGGGGGCTGGTCCCGTTGGCCAGGTCGCCGCCGCCCCAACGGCCCGTGGCCGTGACCCCCGCCGACTCGGCGCCCTTGCCGGCCCCGCGGCACCAGAAGTTGGGCTGGTCCAGGAGGAAGGAGTCCGAGAACTGGCTGAAGCCTATGAACAGCGCGGGGATCCAGGGAATATCTTGAGAAAAACTGGAGGAGTACAAGCCAATTCATTGTTCCTGATCAAGGGAAGTGAAAAGAAGTAACAAAGTGAAGAAATCAACGCAACATTTTAAATCAACTGTGCTTCAATAAAAGTTAAAAGGGATAAATGGAATGTCAGAATGTTCCTGTCACACACACACCAGAGCCGTGTCAAAGAGGCAAGCTCCTGATTTGAGCAACAAAATAAAGTCGTGTTGGTTACTAACCCAAAGTATGAAAGAACTATGGGCTTTCCAGATAGCACCGTGGTGAAGAATCTACCTGCTGAGGCAGGTGATTCAGGAGACTCAGGTTCCACCCCTGGGTCCGGAAGATCCCCTGGAGGAGGAAATGGCAACCCACTCCAGCATTCTTGCCTGGGAAACCCCACTGACATAGGAACCAGGCAGGCTACAGTCCGTGGGGTCGAAAAAGAGTCAGACACGCCCGAGTACTGAGCACATCAAAGAACTATCCCCAGTTTCATAGTGATACAGACAATGATTGAATAAAGCAAGAAAGAAGTGGAGAAGAGATAAATCCCTCCTGTGGGAGAACTGTAGACAATACATGTAGGTACATGGCCCTCGAGAAGGTGGAGCGTAACTCAGCACTCATCGAGTGTGGGCTGGCCACGGCGTTTCCTTCTGAAGAGGAAGGGTCATCACTTCAACAACAAGGACAGAGTCAGCCGGAGAGCATGTAACCTTGACCTGGTGTGATGAGAAGGGCCCTTACCTCTGGAATCTTCCTCCCCCAAACCCGTCTAACCAGGAGGGAAATACCAGGTGCATTCCAGCTGAGGGATCCTACAAAATACCTGACCGGAACAGAAAAGTGCTTGGCTCATCCAAAGCAAGGGAAGTGTGAACGATGTCACAGCTCAGAGGAGCCAGGGAGAGGTGAGGATCAAGCGTGATGTGACAACTGATGGGGTCCTGGAAGAGAAGGACTTCCCGCCCGCGCGAACTAGAGACTTTAGTGAGTAAAAATGTACCAACATTGGCTCATTTGTTCTGACTTATATACCAGGCTAATAACAAGATGTTAATAGCAGGGGCGTTAGGTGTAGGGTATATGGAAACTGTACTATCCTTGGAAATTTTTTCTATGTGTCAAAATATTCTAAAATAAAAAAAATTTTTTTTTAAGGTGAAAAAAAAAAAAATAAAAGAAAATCGAAGATGACTCTGCCAAGCAAAAAGAAGCAAAGAATGTGAAAGATACAGGAAAAGAAATAGGCCTTGACCACACAGGTGGAATGAGGTAGACATAAGAGTCAAAAAGTTACTAGAAAACATGGGACTAGATGAGTAAGTAAATGACCGAAAAGTCAGAGAAAAGGAAAGAGATAAATTAAGGTTTTGTCCACAAGCATCATTTTCCTGTATTTCATTGACTTTGTACCAGAAAACATTAAAAAAAAATGTTATGTTACTGCAGCAAATAACAGAAATAAGTACACTCAAGAGCCTCTGCTAGACTTTATCAAATACCAGAACCAAAGCATCACTACTCAGTGATAACAAGCAGTCAGTCTCTGGTCACTTTCAACACTTAAATAAGTCATATATTGTAAAGTATAGAGGATGAATGGAAATAAAGTAAAAACAATCCATTCCTTTACAGAGACAGCCTGAGCCAAATCCTAAACAAAATGTAAGTAATGCTCTCCTTAAACACGTGTCCACTTCCTCCAAAAGTTTATCATTCCTTTTGCCCAAATCCACCCTTGTTTACTATCCCTGCATTGTTTTACTCTGAGAAGAAGTTCAGCTAATCTAAAAGATGGAGTCATACTACTAAAATATGGAGTCTAAGCTCTGGTAGCATAATAGAGGAGTCCCACAGACCTTCATTAATGACAGTGAACTTTTTGTAGCCAGTGGTGTTCAAAGTAGAATCCCAGCAACAATACAAATGACACAGCAATGGAAGAGCACCACAGACCAATTTTAAGCAACAAAAGCTGCTTTTAATGGGAAAATATTGATGACTTCACCACCACCACTCCCCCCCCCCCCCCCACCATAGTTCTACCTTTGTCTGAGAGAAAGATTCCTGGAAAAAGAAGGCTAGGAGCTCAAACTCCTTCCAGGAAGCCAACTGGGGAGCCCAGCCATGGAAATTCAATTTGGGTATAGAGTCCTTTTTATGAGGATATTGTGACTCCCACCCCTCAAATGGGTGGCTTTGGAAACAGTAGTTACAGTTGTGATTTTGAAGAAATACTAAATATAGATATTCTTCTATTTACTGCCTTTAAATTTTATAAATAGGTAATTGTGAGATTTCATATGTAAAACTGCCTTATTCAGAGGATTATTTTACGCTGGTTAGAAAATAAATGACCCTTAAACAGATTTGGCCAAAACGTTGTCAGCACTTCATTGTAATGGCACTCTGCAAATACTCCAAAGCTGTGTTCTTAATAAAACAAGAAAGGTACCACATTCACATCAGTATACTGAGTTGAAAAGTGAAAATTTTTAATCAACCAATTTTACCATTCTTACTATAAAAACCAAAACAGTACTGGATGTGGGGGGCATTTGCTTCGGTTTTATGCTGGTTTATCCTATTGGATTGACAATCACTTGACCATCTGGTTTCACTTTGTGTTGACTATTGTTGTTGCCTATGTTACTTAGCGAACTTCCCTGGGGGCTCAGGCAGTAAAAGAATCTGCCTGCAATAAAGGAGACCCTGGTTCAATCCCTGGGTCAGGTAGACCCACTGGAAAAGGGAATGGTTAACCACTCCATTATTCTTGCCTGGAGAATCCCATGGACAGAGCCTGGCAGGCTATAGTCCATGTGGTCACAGTTGGATGCCCCTGAGCAACTAAACACACATACACACATGCTACGTAGTATATCATAGTCCTTCAAATTTGTGGATTATATGAGGTAACTTTTCAAATTTTTAGTTTAGAGGATGAAGTGGGCTCTCTGTTTCCAGAACTGGAAACTTCCAGCACCAGCAAGTACAGCTTAGATAAGGTAGGATATAAAACAAACAAACAAAAAAAGAATTGACTCATAGCAAGTTTCTCAAAGGAATGGGTGTGTGTCCAGCTTCTTTTTATTTGCATTTATAATTAATACTTGAGTAAAGTGCTTTGATAGTGAGGAGTAAGTTAGGGCAGGGTGGGAAGAAAATAGGTCAAGGAAAAAGGCTCTGGGGCGGGGAGAGTGGGAGGGTTTCACCTTTAGTTGAAAGAATTTGCCTTTGTTTCCAATTCTATGGACTCCTTTAGCCATAACATAGTATAAATAGAAGATTTGAACTTAAATAATAAATTAATTAAAGAAGGCAGGATGGTCCTGTTTCTGCAAATGCCTTGAACAAAACATGTGTTTCTGTTTAATACTGGATAAGCTCCAGTTGATGTCTAGATCCTTGTCAAAATGTTTACTTTTCTGTGAGACTTTTTTTTTTTTCCAGTGGGTCATTCTGAAGCCAGGGCTACAGCTCTGGACTTCAAAGTTGCTGTCAGCTTCACTGGAAAAGCCATTGTGTTACATCTCCCCCATTCCCATTGGAATGAAATCTTAATTTTTAAAAAATCACATGGGGCTTGAAAATGATCAATCTTGGTACCAAAACAACAGAAGAAACTTGATGAAGAGTTGAAGGAAATTCACCAAAGCAGCAACAAAGACAATAAATACTGAAAATATTGGATATTCTGCATTGTACAAGACTTTGGGTGTCATTTAAAGAAACAACAGCAAAAATAACATTTTTTTTGCAAGGCAGTTGTGAATGCCTGATATGAGTGTGCAAAACCACCGCAAAGGAAGTTTGGAAAATAAAGAATGATATTTTATATTACCTTGTTTATTTTATTCAACTCTATAGGCTTTTAGAAGGTAAATACATATGCCATGAATTATAAATAAATCAAGACAATACATGAATAAACCTGAATGATTATATCTTACATTTTTACTAGAAAATTTAACCCATAATAAGAGACACATACCATAATGCCACAGATTGCAGAGCAACTCTAAAAGTAGAACAAAAGAGAGCCTGTAGATGACAGCTATTTAACTGAAAAAATAAAAGAATTTTGTAAAAGTAAACCAAAATAAAGCCTCTGATGTCACTGTAAAGGGATTTGATTTCTCTCTTTTCAATTTTTAAAACCTATAGACAGACCAATTTTAGTCATCATATGAGTAAAACACCCACTCCTTCCCAGGATTTTCCAAGGAGTGCTGAAATTGAACCATGAAGTTATGGTTTTTGGTCCTGTGTCTTCCCCCTTCTGATGCTAGGTTTATAAACTAGTATTTGCTGAGATTTCCAGGTGAATCAGTGGTAAAGAATCCACCTGCTAAGCATGAGACGTAAGTTCCATCCCTGGGTTGAGAAGATCCCCTGGAGAAAGAAATGGCAGCCCACTGCAGTATTCTTGACTGAAAAATCCCATGGACAATGGAGCCTGGTGGGCTACAGGAATGAAATTGCAAAAAGCTGGACACGACTTAATGCCTTGACAGCAGCAGTTTGACAAATCACCCCAAAACTCAGTACCGTTAAACAACAATCACTGGTGCATAATTCTATGGGTTATCTCGTGGTTCTATCCCCTCGAGTGGCTTGCTGGGACTGGCTGATATAGGACCACCTTGCCGCATGTCTTAAGCCTTGTCTGGGCCTCTAGGAGGCCAGCCCAGGTCTCGTCACCTTCAGGTAGATGGATTTCCAGCAGGAAGTTGGCAAAGTAATGTCTGTGTTTTTTAATATGCTATAATAACTTCAGTACATATGAGTTATAATAAAGGCTAATCCCAGGACAATTAAAAGGCTCAGTGTAATCACAATCTTTTCAATTGTTGATGGGGAAAGGCTGAAAGCAGGAGGACAAGGGGACGACAGAGAATGAGATGGTTGAATGGCATTATCAGCTCAAAGGACATGAGTTTGAGCAAACTGGTGGAGATGGTGAAAGGC